AACATACCTCAACATCATAAAGGCCACATATGAAAAACCCACAGCTAACATCATACTCAAGGGTGAAAACCTGAAAGCTTTTCTTCGAAGATCAGAAACAAGATAAGGATGTCCACTCACTACTTTTATTCAACATAGTACTAGAAGCCCTAGCCACAGCAAGCAGACAACAAAAAGAAATAAAAAGCATCCAAATTGGCCAGAAAGAAGCAAAACTTTCACTATTTGCAGATGACGTGATACTATAGATAGAAAAAAACCCTGAAGACTCCACCAAAAAACCACTAGAATGGATAAATTAATTCAGTAAGGTCACATGATACAAAATACAAAGAAATTGGTTTCATTTCTATATACTAATAATAAAGTAGCAGAAAGAGAAATTAAGAAAGCAACCCACTTACAATTGCACCAAAAAGAATAAAATACCAAAGAATAAATTTAACCAAGAAGGGGAAAGATCTGTACTCCAAAAACTGTAACACACTGATGAAAGAAACTGAAGAGGATACAAACAAAAGACATTCCACGCTCCTGGACTAGTAGAACTAATATTGCTAAAACATCCATACTACCCAAAGCAATCTATATATTCAATGTAATTCCTATCAAAATACCAATAGTATTTTTAACAGAACTAGAACAAAAAATTCTAAAATTTGAATGAAACCACAAAGACCCTGAATAGCCAAAGCAATCTTTAAAAAGAACAACAAAGCTGGAGTTATCACAACCCATATCTCAAGATACACTACAAAACTGTAGTAATCAAAATAGTATGGTACTGGCACAAAAATAGACACATAGATCAATGGAACATAATAGAGAACCCAGAAATAAACCCACACATATATAATCAATTAATCTACAACAAAGGAGGCAAGAATATATAATGGGGAAAATCTCTTCAATAAATGGTGCTGGGAAACTGAACATCAACATTTAAAAGAATGAAACTGGACCACTTTCTTACACTGTACACAAAAATAAACACAAAATGGATTAAAGACTTAAATGTGAGACTTGACACCATAAAATTCCTAAGGGAAAACATAGGCAGTAACCTCTTGGGGTTTGTCCTTAGCAACATATTTTTTTTAATTTTTATTTATTTTTATTTTTTTATTTTTTAAATTAGTTTCAGAGGTAGAATTTAGTGATTCATCAGTTGCATATAACACCCAGTGCTCATTACATCAAGTGACCTCCTTAATGTCCATCCCTTCCCCCAACCCACCCTTTCCCTTCAGCAACCCTCAGTTTCCTAGATTTCAGCATCTTATGGTTTGCCTCCCTCTCAATTTTCTTATTTTTCCTTCCCTTCCCCTATGTTCATCTGTTTTATTTCTTAAAGTCCACATAAGAGTGAATTCATATGGTATTTGTCTTTCTCTGACTGACTTATTTCACTTAGCATAATACCCTCTAGTTCCATCCACAACATCTCAGCAACGTATTTATGCATATATCTCCTTAGGCAAGGGAAGCAAAAGCAAAAATAAACTATTGGGACTACACCAAAATAAAAAGCTTTTGCCCAGCAAAGGAAACCATGAATAAAACAAAAAGGAAACCTACTGAATGGGAGAAGATATCTGCCAATGACATGTCCAGTGACGGATTAATATCCAAAATATATAAAGAAGTTAAACAGTTCAATACCAAAATAAATTAACAATCCACTTAAAAAATGAGTAGAGGACCTGGGGCACCTGGGTGGCTCAGTCAGTTGAGCATCTATTAATTTCAGCTCAGGTTATGATCTCAGGATCTTGAGACTGAGTTCCAAGTTGGGCTCAGTGCTCAGTGTGGAGTCTGCTTAAGATTTTTTCCCTCTCCCTTCACCTCTGTTCCTCCTCCCCTCACTCATTCTCTCATAAATTAGATAGATAGATAGATAGATAAATAAATAAATAAAGTCTTCTTTTTTTAAATGAGCACAGGAGGGCCCCTGGGTGGCTCAGTTGTTAAGCATCTGCCTTTGGCTCAGGTCATGATCCCAGGGTCCTGGGATCAAGCCCCGTGCCAGGCTCACTGCGCTGCAGGAAGCCTGTTTCTCCCCTCTCCCGGCCCCCCTGCTTGTGTTCCCTCTTTCACTGTCTGTCTCTCTGTCAAATAAATAAAATCTTAAAAAGAAAAATGAGCACAAAATCTTAAAAAGAAAAATAGACATTTTTCTGAAAAAGACATACAGATGACCAACAGACACATGAAAAGAGGCTCAACATCACTAATCATCAGGGAAATGCAAATCAAAACCACAATGAGGTATCACCTCACACCTGTCAGAATGGCTAGAATCAAAATGACAACAAATAACAAGTGTTGGCAAGGATGTGGAGAAAAGGAAACCCTCATGCACTGTTGCTGAGAACGTAAATTGGTGCAACCACTGTGGAAAACAGTATAAATATTCCACCAAAAATTAAAGACAGCATTACCATAAAATCCAGCAATTCCACTTCTGGATATATAACCGAAGAAAACAAAAACACTAATTCAAAAAGATATATGCACCCCTATGTTTATTGCAGCATTGTTTACAATAGCCAAGATACGGAATTAACCCAAGGGACCATCAATAGATGAATGGATAAGGAGGATGTGGTATATATATATATGTATATATATATATATACATATATATATATACACAATGGAATATTACTCAGCCATACAAAAAAGAATGAGATCTTGCCATGTGTGACAACATGGATGGAACTAGAGGGTATTATACTAAATGAAATAAAGTCAGACACAGAAAGATAAATACCATATGATTTCATATATATGTGGAATCCAAAATGCAAGACAAGCAAACAAAAAACAGACTATTAAATACAGATAACAAACTCAGTGGTTGCCAGAGGGGAGGTGGGTGAAATAAATAAAGGGGATTAAGAAGTACAAACGTCCAGTTATAAAACAAGTCATGGAGATGAAAAGAATAGCATAGAAAATACAGTCAATCATATTGTAGTAATGTTGTTTGGTGACTACACTTATGGTGAGCACTGAGTAATGTATAAAATTATTGAATCATTATACTGTACATCTGAAATATAACACTGCATATTATACTTTAATAAAAAAATAGAAACATACAGTATGTACAGAAAGACAGAATTTAATCAGAGAATTGGAATTTGAAAAAATAATAAAATGGCTATTTTAGAAGGAAAAAATATGATTAATCCAAAATTAAGAATTCCGTAGATGGGTTTAAAAGCAAATTAGACACAGTGGAAGGCAGGATTAGGAAACAGATCGATAGATCTCCAAAATGAAAGAAGAATAAAAGATACATATGGGACACAATAAAAAGTAACTTAAATGAATACATTTCAGTGCTCATGAGTCTGCAGAATCACACAGAATTACTTATTGCCAGTAAATTATTTCCAGTTTTATATGATAAGATTAAATATCCATTCATCCTAACAACTATTTGACTACTATGTACATAGCAATATGCTGGGCCCTGAGTTACACAGATATTTAATGAGACAGAGTCCCTGCCTGTAAGACACCCATAGTCACAGATGACTAATGACTAAACCATTCTTTTTTTTTTTTTTTTTTAAAGATTTTATTTATTTGACAGAGAGAGACACAGCGAGAGAGGGAACACAAGCAGGGGGAGTGGGAGAGGGAGAAGCAAGCTTCCCGCCGAGCAGGGAGCCCGATGCGGGGCTCGATTCCAGGACCCTGGGACCACGACCTGAGCCGAAGGCAGACTCTTAACGACTGAGCCACCCAGGCGCCCCAGACTAAGCCATTTTTAAGAATAAGGAGGTCACTGGAATTTAGGCAAAATATTTGGAGTGGAGGTAAGAGCCTCCTCCTTTTGGGTAGAGAAAGTAGCCAAAAGTATGATAGTGACATAGGAAGAATATAAAATATAGGGGAAGTTAATTTCATGATATCTAGAGTATAGGATATATTAATGATAGTAAGAGAAAATGAGCAACATAGTTTCACAGGAACTAGCTAATTATTTGTCATGTGAAAAAAAGAATGTTTTTAAGAGAAAAGTGACAAATATCACAAAATCCATATGTTGCTCTGAAAGGTGCACAGTGTTTCACAAGTGTATTATGCCTTCCAAGTGCCTTAAACAAGTTTGAAAAATATTCAGTAAGGTAGTCTAAACATGACATTCAAGATTCTTCATAATCTGATCCAATTATTCTTTTTCAGTCTCATTTACTGAGTTCTCTAACATAAAGACACACCAATCAGTGTTTCAAATATACCCTAACTTTGAAAGTCTAGGACTTGCACAAGGCATTTCTTCTGCCTAGATCCTCCCTTCCAATTCACTGTCTAGTAAAACTTTAATCATCAAAGGTTTAGTTCAACAAGCACTTTTCCCTAATGCCTTTCCAAATGTCTTGCTCCAGGAATACTCCCTCTTTAGTGTTCCCAGTGTATTCAGTCATTCATGAAATATTTATTGAGTGTCCTGTGTGCCAGGCACTGTTCTAGGCACTTGGAATGCATCAGTAAACAAAAGAAAAAAGATCCCTGTTTTTTGGAGCATTTTGTTGAAACCCTGAAGAAGGGGAGAGTATGGAAAAGTGAAAAGAGCACATGTACAATGAAAAAGCTCCCTAAGTGACTCTATTACACCCTCCTCCAACTGATCCAATCCAGGTTGAGAATTACAGCACTGGAAAGCATTACAACAAAATTATAATGAAAGCCAAAATTTAAAATATAATAAGAGGGGCGCCTGGGTGGCTCAGTTGGTTAAGCGACTGCCTTCGGTTCAGGTCATGATCCTGGAGTCCCTGGATCGAGTCCCACATCAGGCTCCCTGCTCGGCAGGGAGTCTGCTTCTCCCTCTGACCCTAACCCCTCTCATGTGCTCTCTCTCATTCTCTGTCTTAAATAAATAAATAAAATCTTTAAAATAAAATTTAAAAAAATAATAAAATAAAATATAATAAGAGTAATACATAAGATACATTGTTATATTTTCTTATGGAAATTCTTACTTGTCTTTTCCTCTAATTGATTAACTTTATCTCTGGATTCCTCTAGCAGAAATATTAAATCTTTCATTTTATTTTCTTTCTCAGTATTTTGGAGCAATAGCAGTGATACCTAAAATGAAATATTTAAGTAATACATTAGAGATATGAAAAATTACATATGACACCTTAGCATTTACCACCACCTATGATTATTTTATATACTTGTTTATATGCTTTTCAGCTGGTTGTGCCAGGGCATTTAGTACATGCTTGCACAATGTTCATTCATTCAATAAATGTTTAAACTAATATGATCTACCCAATATTATAATGTTCATTTTAAGTTAGAACTTAGAAGATATATAATAAAATCTATTGTTTCGTTTATTCCATAAATATTATGGAGCACCTACTCTGTTCCAAAAACCATAATAAGCATTGAGTATACAGTGAGGAGGAAACTTAACTTAAAGAAACTTAGAGACTAGGGAACTTTCCAGAACACAAGGTGAGAAGCGGAGAAGCGGCGGCTGCCTGAGCTGCGCCCAGCAACGCGCTCCTTCCCACTCCCCCACACCGACCTCAACAAGGTCACCGGCTGTAGAATATGGTGAAAGAAACCACTTACTATGATGCTTTGGGGGTCAAACCCAATGCCACCCAAGAAGAATTGAAAAAGGCTTACAGGAAACTGGCCTTGAAGTACCACCCTGATAAGAATCCAAATGAAGGAGAGAAGTTTAAACAGATTTCTCAAGCTTATGAAGTGTTCTCTGATGCAAAGGGAATTATATGACAGAGGAGGAGAATACCCAATTAAAGAAGGTGGAGCTGGTGGTAGAGTTGGCTCCCCCATAGACATCTTTGATAAGTTTTTTGGAGGAGGAGGAAGGATACAGAGAGAAAGGAGAGGTAAAAATGTTGTACATCAGCTCTCAGTGATCTTAGAAGATTTATATAATGGTGCAACAAGAAAACTAGCTCTGTAAAAGAATGTGATTTGCAACAAATACGAAAGCTGAGGTGGTAAGAAAAGAGTAGAATGTTGTCCCAACTGTGGAGGTACTGGAAAGAAAATAAGAATTCATCACATAGGACCTGGAATGGTTCAGCAAATTCAATCTGTGTGCATGGAATGCCAGGGCCATGGGGAACATATCAGTCCTCAAGATAGATGTGAAAGCTGCAATGGAAGGAAGATAGTTCAAGAGAAGACTCTAGAAGTTCATATCAACAAAGGTATGAAAGATGGCCAGAAGATAACATTCCATGGTGAAGGAGACCAAGAACCAGGACTGGAACCAGGAGATATTATCATTGTTTTAGGTCAGAAGGACCGTGCTGCTTTTACTCAGCGAGAAGACCTTTTCATGTGTATGGACATATAGCTGGTTGAAGCACTCTGCGGCTTTCAAAAGCCAATATCTATTTTTGACAACCGAACCATCATCATCACCTCTCATCCAGGTCAGATTGTCAAGCATGGAGATATCAAGTGTGTGCTAAATGAAGGCTTGCCAATTTATCGTAGACCATATGAGAAGTGTCGTCTAATCATTAAATCTAAGGTAAGCTTTCCTGAGAATGGCTTTCTCTCTCCTCATAAACTCTCTTTGCTGAGAGGAAGGAAGTAGAAGAGACTGATGAAATGGACCAAGTAGAACTGGTGGACTTTGATCCAAATCAGGAAAGACGGTGCCATCACAATGGGGATGCATATGAGGATGATGAACATCATCACAGGGGTGGTGTTCAATGTCACACCTCTTAATGGGGCCAGTGAATAACACTGCTGGCATTTTATATACAGTAATGAATGAGTGAAGGACTATAATCATAGCTCACTACTTGCTATTGTTTTTGTTTTAATATTCAACTACAGTAGTGTTTTAAAAGTTAAACGAAGAATAAACTCAAATATAAAAGCTCTGACTTTGCCCTGTGTATGATGACTTCAGTGTGCAAGATAAGTTTAATACTTATAAAAACTACTTTTAAAAAAATTTTCACTAGCGTTAGACCATACATTGTAACAGATTTCAGCTCTATGTATATGAAACAGCTCAAACTGAAATGTTAGGTGTGTATACTGACTTCAGTGTATGACCCTTAATTGTTAAGCTATCAAGTTAAAATCTGTATTTAACTGGCAGTCAGACAAAGAACTTAATTTGTAGAGAAGTGTTGGTCTGTAGTTAAGTGGGATTCATCGTGCTGCCTCTGCATTTATTCTATTGTCTCAACTGTTACTTGAAGATGGCTTGCACTTATAGAACCGCATTCCCTTCTGCTGTGCCATCTTTTTTTTTAAATACATGTATCAGTCCTGGTTACATTTTTTTCCTTCTCTTTGGACCATGAAAAGCTTCAGAGCAGTGACTTTGGGAGCAGGGTAACTTAGAGTGAAGAGACATTTATGTGGAGAAGTTAATTTGCATGAATGAGATAGGAAGGTGTTTTTTAAGGTATGTTACAGGCTTATTTTAAACCATTTAACTTATTCTCTGAAGTAACTGTAATTTAATGTTGTAGTATAGCAAATTATGATGAATAGCTTTAATTTTATGTTTAAAAGTGATGTTCACAAGCTTAAATCTGGATATCAGAATTAAGCAATTCTTGAAATGTATGAATGTCTCCTTAATATACTGACTACAAAGCATCTAAAAAAAAAAACAAAACCCTCAGAGCCTAGACCAGGAGACAACAACTATACTTGAATATTATTAGTAATAGGACAAAAATATTATATGAATCAGGAAAAACTCAGCCTTCGGGGATGTAATCAAAAATTAATCCTTCTCAGAGTACTGAATTGAATCTTGATAGACAAGTAGAAATTAATCAGGCAAATACAGAAAAATGAACATTCTAACTCATACAAGAACACAAAGGATCAAGAGATCATGCTGCATTCAGAGAACTGAAAATACTCAGATGACTAGAATACAGAGCCCACGTGAAGAAAAAGGTAAAAGATAAACTTAAAAAGACAAGCTGAAGACTTGCAGATTCAAGATGGCAGAAAAACCTCACTGCCGTATTTTCATCTGCCCATGCACCCAGAACTCCAACAAGCTTTTTATTTTTAGCACTTCCCTCTACTTTTGTGTTCTTTATAATACGTGCAATTTTAACTTTTAAAAGGCTTTCTTCTGGGGCACCTGGGTGGCTCAGTCATTAAGCGTCTGCCTTCGGCTCAGGTCATGATCCCGGGGTCCTGGGATTGAGCCCCGCATCGGGCTCCCTGCTCGGCAGGAAGCCTGCTTCTCCCTCTCCCACTCCCCCTGCTCGTGTTCCCTCTCTCTCTGTGTCTCTCTCTGTCAAATAAATAAATAAATCTTTAAAAAAAAAATAAAAAATAAAAAGGCCTTCTTCTTTCAGAAATCTAGTTTAAAAGTTCAGCTAAAATATAGAAAACTGTTAACTCTTTCAAAAGATCCAAGCATAACATATAAATTTAACCAGAACCAAAAGAAAACTCTAAGTATCTTCTCTGTACTTTCAATTAACTTTTCACCCTTGTTATCTATCATTACAAAGTATCTTGTGGCAAATCAAAGAAGAAAAACTCTGAAAAAAATGGGAAATAGAAGAGCATTCCTTTCTATAAATCTTTTTCCATTTGGGAAGCATACGACTTGAAACTGATAAAGTTGCCATAGTAATAACCTGAAATTGACATTCTTGTGAATATCAAAGAACAGAGATTCATTATTTTCAAGTTTTCCACTATATGACATTAATAGAAAGGAGCAAAAGAATATTTTAGTTCCCCATTCTTGGTGTCATGAATAGTAAGTGCATTTCAAAATAAACTGCAAAATGTGGATTAAGTGGTCAATGATCATCATCTTTACATTTTACAAGGTTTTTATCTGAACAAAAGTTCTTAAAAAATATTTTTGCAACAATGTCCTATTACCCACTAATATAAATACTGTAGATAATTGTTTTGTTTTTTTTTTTAAAAAGGGCTGGCATTCAGTGCATGCATGTTTGAATCAATGGAAATTCATTCTGCTGGCAAAAGGCTAAATATTTGAATATGTAGAATATTAAAATTGTCTTATAGAAATTTATCATGCAGTCAGCAGATAATTTCTTTTGAAATTTTAAGTATTTTATGAATTAGCAAATACAAAAAATACAGAGTTGATTTTTTAAAAATACCTGCTTTTCCTTGTCATTTACTTCCTTCTTATATTCCTCTTCAAGGTGTTGGATTTTTTCATAATCTTCCTTTACTTTAAAAATAAAGCAGATATACTTTAATATCTTAGCATAATTATATAACAACAAAATTTAAAGCTTCTTACATTTTATTACACCTCCTTATTTATCTAGATACTAAACTTCAAAGGTTTCTAACAAGCTTAGCTGCTATTTTCTTGCTACTTTCTGTTTAGTAAAATAGTGAATTTAAAAAATATCAAAGTATAACAATAAAATTGTATTATTTTTACAATAGTACATATGTAAGAGTTTATTCTTTATAACACACTAATCTGAATTAACAGATTTTAAATATATATAAAGTTGACCCTTGAACAACATTAGAGGTGCTGACCCCTACACAGTTGAAAATTCATGTATAACTTTTGAATCCCCAAAAACTAAACTAATATCCTACTGTTAATCAGAAGCCTTACCTGTAACATAAAGTTGTTTAACATGTATTTTGAATGCTATATGTATTATAAGCTGTATTCTTATAATAAAGTAAGTTAGAAAAAAAAGCATTAAGAAAACCATAAAGAAGGGAAGGATGGGGTGGTTGGGTGATAGACATTGGGGAGGGTATGTGCTATGGTGAGCGCTGTGAATTGTGCAAGACTGTTGAATCACAGATCTGTACCTCTGAAGCAAATAATACATTATATGTTTAAAAAAAAAAAA